TTTCTGTAGCAATTGGAAAGTTAGGTTTTTATATGAAGTCTCACAATTTCATGGTTAGTCTCAAATTTGCTAAAGCAGTCTGCCAGACTGGGCCTGCAAGCACCCATCTGCAAGTTCTGCCCTGTTGTACTGTGAGTTCCTTGAGGGCATGGAAGGAATCTTATTCACTTGTGTATACACAGAACCCAGCACAAGGACTGGCCCATAATACCTTCTCCTTAAATTTTGGTTAACTTTAGTTGGGTTTTAAAAATCTAATAAAATTGTATATTATCTAATTCTACAGGTAGAAATCCTTCAAGAGATTTTTTCTTTTTTTAGAAAATTTTTATTAGAGTGTAGATGATTTACAATGTTGTGTTAGTTTCAGGTGTGCAGCGAAGTGAATCAGTTCTACATATACATATACACACTCTTTTTTAGATTCTTTTTGCATATAGACCATTACAGAGTAGAGTTCCCTGTGCTATACAGTAAGTTGTTATTAGTTATCTATTGATATTTTATATACAGTAGTGTGTATATGTCAATCCCCATCTCCCAATTTATCCCTCCCCCCATTACCCCCTCGTAACCATAAGTTTGTTTTCTACATCTGTAACTCTATTTCTGTTTTACAGATAAGTTCATTTGTACCCCTTTTTTAGATTCCACATACAAGCGATATCATATGATATTTGTCTTTCTCTGTCTGACTTACTTCACTCAGTATGACAATCTCTAGGTCCATCCATGTTGCTGCAAATGGCATTATTTTGTTCTTTTTTATGGCTGAGTAGTATTCCATTGTATACATGTACCACATCTTCTTTATCCATTCATGTGTCGATGGACATTTAGGTTGTTTCCATGTCTTGGCTGTTGTGAATAGTGCTGCTGTGAACATAGGTGTGCATGTATCTTTTTGAATTATAGTTTTGTCCAGATATATGCCCAGTAATGGGATTGCTGGGTTATATGGTAGCTCTATTTTTAGTTTTTTAAGGAACCTCCATGCTGTTCTCCATAGTGGCTGTATCAATTTACATTCCCACCAACAGTGCAAGAGGCTTCCCTTTTCTCCACACCCTCTCCAGCATTTATTGTTTGTAGACGTTTTAATGATGGCCATTCTGACTGGTGTGAGGTGATACCTCATTGTAGTTTTGATTTGCATTTCTCTAATAATTAGCGATGGTGAGCATCTTTTCATGTGCCTGTTGACCATCTGTATGTCTTCTTTGGAGAAATGTCTATTTAGGTCTTTTGCCCATTTTTAGATTGGGTTGTTTGTTTTTTGTTTCTGTTGAGTTGTATGAGCTGTTTGTATATTTTGGAAATTAAGCCCTTGTTGGTCTCATTGTTTGCAAATATTTTCTCCCATTCTGTGGGTTGTCTTTTCGTTTTGTTTATGGTTTTCTTTGCTGTGCAAAAGCTTGTAAGTTTGATTAGGTCCCATTTGTTTATGTTTGTTTTTATTTCTATTGCCTTGGGAGACTGAGCTAAGAAAACATTGGTATGATTTATGTCAGAGGATGTTTTGCCTATGTTCAAGAAGATCTTTTGCTAGCTCCTTTCATAGACAAGCAGAGCCTAGCATATCACTTGTACATAATAGATGCTCAAACATGTTTTAAGTTTGAAGGGAAACGCATCAAGTGTTCATTAACAGTGTAGTTTGTTTCACTTATTAGATGAGTAGCAAGATATCACCTAAGATTTAAAGGTAGAGAACCTTAAGACGGATGATTTTGATAAGGAGAATTAAGTCAAAAGAGATAATCAATGCTACCCTCAGCAGGTGTAATGGAGCATCTCTGATCTCTGTGCAAGAATGGGGATGTGGGAGAACCCTGAGTCTTTGGTAACACAGTAAACCTGACTTACTTGATATCTGTAGCTTGGGGGTCACAGTGAGGCACAAGGCTCTGCTTCAGCAATACCAGCAGCTCTGGGGCTATCACGGCTGGATGTCACATCTCAGGAAGACTGTTCCTTTATGGTGGCCACTTTAAACATCATTTAAGGGCTTCCCTGGTGGCGCGGTGGTTGGGAGTCCGCCTGCCGATGCAGGGTACGCGGGTTCGTGTCCCGGCCCGGGAGGATCCCGCATGCCGCGGAGTGGCTGGGCCCGTGAGCCATGGCCGCTGAGCCTGCTCGTCCGGAGCCTGTGCTCCGCAACAGGAGAGGCCACAACAGTGAGAGGACCGCGTGCCGGAAAAAAAAAAAAAAAAAAACATCATTTAAATGTCCATTCTGAGAAAGAACCATAACATATGAAAAAAAAGTTTAGAATAAAAAGCTAAAGAAATAGACTTGCGTTTTGAATTTTGCAAGTTGAAAAAATTGCCCAGAGTTATGAATGTTTTCAAAGATTAACAACTCGGAAATAGTTGTTTTTGAAAATATTAGCAAGCAGTGCATTTACAAGGGAAACCAAATAAATAATAACTGCTTATCTATTCATGTATACTACATGTAACTTTAAAAAATGAAGACAAGAACTATTTTATATAAACTTAAAAAATGACTGATAATTTGCTGAGTAAATATTGACTTACATCCAATTAATTAAAAAAAGATCAACTGTGAATATTTCCTGTTAAATTATCATGCCATATTTTAAGTGATGTATTTGCCTTGTCTAATATACAATGAAAACATTTTTGGCAAACATTTGCCACATATGTTAAATAATGCATTTTAAATTTATGATAATGATACTATTTTATTATGCTTATACAAAACTCATATGAATTTGAGCAACATTTAAAATATGGAAAATTTAGCAAGCCAAACTTTACTTTCAAAATGCCATTAGATAGGACTTTAATCTTATTTCTTTGAGATAACCAACCCCCTACACTTCCCAACACACAGTCCTAATACTGGATAAACAGGAAAATATTCAATTGTATATAGAACTAGGTAATAGTTCCTAGTATATGAACTTAGATCGAAGTATTTATCACCTTACAGTAGTGATGCTATGATATAAATCAGACCACATATTTTATAAAAACTTATTCATTCAATAGTATTTACTGAGTACCTATTATGTGTTGGAATTAATATATCAGTGAACAGATAAAAAAAAAGTCAGCCATGTGGAGCTTAAATTCTAAACCAATGCAATGCTAATATCCCTGTTTTGCATTTTTTTGCATGTTAAGTATTCTGAAATTAATAATAATGATAATAATAATTTACATTTACAAAGTATAGTGTTTGACTTTTCAAAGTACTTCCAAATATGTTCTCAGCTGATTTTTACACTTCCTTGGCCTTGAAGTAAGGTTGACAGATGTTACTACCTCAGTGTTACAGATGAGGAAACTAGATGATAGATTCCCACAGCCACTGTCCTAAGACTAGTCTCATCTCTCTCCAACCTGCACAGCTGTGGGAGCGTGAGAATAAGGCAGAATAAGAGAATGAATAGGGTAAAGGAGTTTGAAATCATTGCCATGGAGAGAGGAAGCTAACTGGAAAAACATTAAGAAGCCAGGAGCAGCTGAAATTGATTACTGTGGCAGCCACTGACTATCTATCTATACTCATATTTGGTTCTTCTCTTTCCTGGCACATGGTAAGATTGCACTTCTCCAACTTCTTAAACTCAGCTATGGCTATCTGAATTCCTTTGGCCAATATAAGATGAACAGAAGGCTTTCAAAGCCAGTGCATTTGCTACCATGTCTCCTTCTCTGCTGCAATGACCTAGGAAGCACAAACTCAGATGTAGCCTCCATCCCCGTGAGTCTCTGAATGACTAAGATGAGCAGAACCCCATTCTGGACTTGTAGCATAGACAAGAAATAAACTTGTATCAAGCCATTGATATTTGAGATTTGTTGTTTATGTTTTGTTTTGCTTCATCTTGTTTCATTTTGTTTGTTACCACAACATAACCTGGTCTATCCTGATGGATAGAAAGCATGGGTTTATACTGATATCAATTTGTCTGGTTATGTAATTTCTTTTTCTACAGCTATCTCAGCAGCTCAAGTATAGGTGCAAATAGCAGGTAGTGAATTCATCCGAGGTTGGGGTTTTGTCAGGTGATGGGAAAACTATGGACCGTGATATCTAAGCTTGATTAGGAGGACATCAAGCAGGAGAAGGCCCATGAGTAGAGAGAAAGTAGATGGGTCAAGGGACTGGCTATTTTGATGAAGTGGATGATCAATTATAGAGAAAGTACGTGAAGAGTCAATCTTGAAAAATAAGGAGTTGTGATTGAAGCATAGGATGGTATAATCAGAGATTTGGGAAGTGGCAAAATTTCAGATCATGACAGGGTACAAGATGTGAAAATGGAACTGAGTGGCTCAGCTGGAGAGAAGGAGATGTTTGAGCAAACAGCAGTCATGGGCCTGAGAGGCTGTGTGCCAGGGGACGGCTAGCCACATACACCTTTGAATTCCATAGCACAATCACAGGAATTGGGAGAGAGAGGGAGGCGGTGAGCTAGTTGCAAAAGTCACCACTTAATGAGTGAGGAGAAGCCAAAGGTGGGGATTGAGTCCAGTTGTCATGAGCTTCACAGAGACAGGAGTTTGCATTTATAAGAGACTAGAGGCAGAAATAATGGGCTGCACGCTCTGCTTCCAGTGCTGAGCTGCACGGTGTGTGGAAGAGAAGACACAGCCTCCACTCAAAAAGGTTGCAGGACCAGTGGTTTTACAGGGTGAGAGCCAAATGTCTGTGCAGGTGAAAGGATTGAGGGAAGGTTGCTTGAAGAAGTTGAGGATGTTGATTATGATTTGGGGCCATGGAAAAGGAGTTGTAAAGTGTTAAAGGAGAGTTTGGTGGGGAAGAACAGGAGATTAGAGCAGGGAAACCAACAAAGCATTATTAGAATGAAAGTTAGAGGGTGAAGCATAACTAGAAAGGTGTCCTTGGGCAGTAACCAAGGAAAATAGACATTGGATGCTGGGAGGACTTAGGTGGCTGTGATATTGTACTTTATAATAAGAAATATACCTGGTATTTAGTCTTCCTCCCTGTTTCTTCCCCAGAGCCTCTAAGGAGTTTCCTAAGACTGGAGAACAGCAACGGTGTCTTTTGTTATGTTAATGAGGTGGGTTTCAGGAAGCACCTAAGAATGAGGGCTGGGGTACCAGAAAACAACCATATGATGAGAGGGTTGGAACTTTCAGTCCCACCCCTAACCTCCCAGATGGGAGAGGGGCTGGAGGCTGAATCAGTTGCCAATGGTCAATAATTTAATCAACCATGCCTATGTAATGAAGTCTCTATAAAAACCCAAAAGGACTGGGTTGGGAGAGCTTCCAGGCTGGTGAACACGTGGGCCTAGAGAGGGCGTGGAAACTCCTCAGCCCTCCCAACATACGTTGCCCTATGCATCTCTTCCATCTGGATATTCATCTGTATCCTTTATCATATCCTTACTAAACTGATAAACATAAGTGTGTGTTTCCCTGAGTTCTGTGAGCCTTCCTAACAAATTATCAAACCTGAGAAGGGAGTGAAGGGAACCGCTGATTTATAGCCAGTTGGTCAGAAGTACAGATGACAACCTGGGCTCGCGGTTGGCATCTATAGTTGGGGATGGAGGTGGGTCGCATCTTGTAGGACTGAGCCCTTAACCTGTGGAGTCTGATGCTGCCTCTGGGTAGATAGCATCAGAATTGAGCTGAATTCTCGGATACCCTGCTGGTGTCTGAGAATTGCTTGCTGTTGTGTGGGAGCCCCACCTACCCCCACTCCAAAACACACATGTAGGAATTGGGTCCAGGAACCCCAAAAAGAGCCATGGAGAGGTTGGAGCCAGTTAGGACAGTCTGTGTTCATTTGTGGGTTGGCAGTAGCTTTGTAGTAAGAAATGCACTTTCCTTTTCTGTGGGCATGCACCTCATACAGGCTTAAAGCATGTACCTGTCAAGGGATGCTCCCGGGAGACCAATCTTTGCTATATCCAATCTCACAGAAAATGCTCAGAACTAAGTCTTGAGATTGTTTTGCACTGGTTGCTAGAATCCAGAGTCTCCAGAACACTCCAGGAAGTCATTCATCCAAACTCTTCTCGTTTATTAGATGAGAAAACTGAGGCCCTAGGAACTGCCCAGCATTGAGTCTGTAGTTTTTCATAGAACGGAGTCTATAGCACAGGTCTCCTGACCCTTGCACTCGCTCTACTCTAAACGTTCAGCCTCCTAGAAGAGCAATGTCAGGCCACTGTCACATAGTAATAGTTCATATTGACAGCTAATGTTTACTGAGAGCTCACCAATAGCCAAGCCCTGTACATGGCTTCTCATTCTTCTGACAGCTCCATGTGATGTAGGCACTAGCATTATCCCCTTTCTACAGAGATGGAAAACAAGGACTGAAGAAGTTAAGTAACCAAGGCACATAGCTACAAATTGGCAGCTCTGGGATTTGAACTCCCATCCTTCCCTCCAGAGGCCTCTCCCTCAACCAATATAATATGCTTTATCATTCACTGTTACATGTGTTATGGCTTGCCCATCCCCTCCTTTTTAACAGAATTAGAAAAATAGTTTCCCCCTGCTATATATAGTCCCATATGCCAGCACCTGCTCTGCGCAGACACCTATTTAGCATGTATGTGCAAACACCTGTTTTGAGACTGACTCTTCCTAATCATCCTTGGCTATCAGTTTCTGAAGCTACCCACCTCTGAGGAATGATGCAAGAAAGGAGAAGGATAAAAATAAAAGGGTGAGGCAGTGGGTTTTTAAATTTTATTTTGATTTGTGAAATTACCATTATTATCTAAAAATAATACCTGTCTCCTCTTTCACTGGAAGAAAGTAGCAGTAGCGTTATAGCTGCTTACATCTGTGGAATTCTTAGGTAGTCTAATTCTATGGTATAGGGAGAGCTATACCAAAATCAGCTTTGGGATAAAACTTGGGAGATGGCGGAGCAGAGACTTCACACATCCAATATGCCTTGTGTTTCCTCAAGTCTCTTCAGAGATGAAGACCCTCTGACTATTGGAGAGAAGGCCTCTTGGTTGCATACTTATCCTGCTCTTTGGCACAGGGTGGCATTTATTAAGCCAACATTTTGTGAATTCTTCCTGTGTCCCAGGCATGTGCTAGGTGCCCTTCAGGAAATCACACTTACCTGGGAAACCAAGTGGGTGAATAGAAACTTGCAGTACCATGTGGTGATTTCTACATGGCAACACATGCAGAGTGCTAGGGAAACCCAGAAGACTTCTTTCAAGAGACGTCATGGAACCATAATGACACGAAAGCAACTATTTCCCTTCAGAGGAGCCAAATAGCAGTACCATCAGGGGATTTATTAGTTTTTATTCTTTGGAATAGGCAGGGTCACATATTGATCATGAATAGATGTTTGTATGCAGACCAGGTTACCTGCAGAGCGCACTAGAGGAAAATTGGTAAGGCAAGGTTCTAAATCCATTCTCCCAGCCTTGTCACAATGAATAAAATTACCCTCTTTTGTTTCCCTGCCACTCTGAAGCAGTGCAGGGTTGCCTCTGAATTGTTTTAATGATGTGCTGTTTTGTTCCTGTGAGTACTCCATACTTTAGGTGCCAATTCACCTTTTCCTCTCATTAAGAAGAGTCAGGGAAAAAGAACAAGAGGAATGGCTGAACAATTGCAAATCCAGCATATTGAAAAGGTCATGGTACTACTGCATACTATTTTAATTTCTAAATGTTTTAGGCATTGTAAGTCCTTTTTGACATTCCATTCTACTAACAAATACTAAAAAGGGGCTGGGAAAGGGCACAAATTATTTCATCTGCTTGTAAAACATAATGATAAGAGTAGGAAATGGTGCCCAATTAATCCACGTTTTTTGTAGCATTTCACTTGGAGGCCTGTTTTGGACATGTCTTGCTGTGAGAAAGGTAACAGGTATGACCTAGTGGTGTTTACCACAGTGATAAAGTAGAAACTAGGCATCCCTCTAAATAAGCTAGCATTTTAACTTTCTCTTCTTCTTACATATATTTACTAGTTTTCATCAACCATCTATTGAGTGACTGATTTACTTTCAGGAAACTTTCAACTAGAACACTAGTAATTAACATTTACCCAGAGTTAGCGCTTTACAAAATGCACATGGCAGACACCGTTGATTACCTTATCCAACCTTCTTTTCCCAGCTCTCTCCAGCTATAGAGGCTGAAAAGCCAAATACTTGTTTAGCCTCCCAGGTGTAGACGTGGCCATGCCACTTAGTTCTGGAAACTATACAATATAAGTGCAAGTCTGCTGTGAGAGTTCTGAGAAGATGGGAACAGACAAAGCTCATGGATACTTCTCCCTTTTATTTCTGCGTGTAACTTGGCAATATCTAGAGATCCAGCAGCCAGGCTGTGAGCATGAAGCAATTAGCCCACTTTGCTAAGGAAGTTGAAATGGAAAGATAAAAGGATCCTGAGACACTGGTGATGTCATGAAGCTGATATACCTGCCAACCTACCTGCAGATGTCTCGTTATAAGAAAAAAATTGTTGTTTAAAGTATTAGAATTTTGGGGCTTCCCTGGTGGCGCAGTGGTTGGGGGTCCGCCTGCCGATGCAGGGGATGCCGGTTCATGCCCTGGTATGGGAAGATCCCACATGCCGCGGAGTGGCTGGGCCCGTGGGCCATGGCCGCTGGGTCTGCGCATCCTGAGCCTGTGCTCCGCAACAGGAGAGGCCACAACAGTGAGAGGCCCGCGTACTGAAAAAAAAAAAAAAAAAGTATTAGAATTTTAATTTTCTGTTGCTTGTAGCTGAAAATATTTCTGACTGATGAAATGCTTTTATAGACAATATCTCATTTGTGCTTCATGATAAATCTGTAGTAGATTCTCATTATCCTTATTTTACCAATGGAAAGAGGGAAATTAATGGAGTGTCAGTTAAGAGCACACGAGAAAAAGGCAGGCCAGGGCTTAAGTACTGGAAATCCCAAATTCTCTGTGCTTTTTCCACCATTCTTCTATCCCTAACTGTGATAAAAATTTGAACTTTCATGAGAAAGGAAGACAATCCATTAAACAGTTATTTGATCTATTAAGAGACTTCAGGTTCTTCTCTCCCTCTTCAACTGCTAAAGTATTAGTGCATCATGCTTTTGCTTCCTCTGTTTGTCTTATTTGCATAATATTTTTCCTGCAAAGTTAAAATTAAATTAGAGCTAGGAATATGAAAAATATCTGAGTGTAGAAAACACCAATGAACCTAAACAGAAAGATGGACAGTATTACGAATATAGCTTTTGGAATTGAAGGTAGCTTCTTTTTCCCTTTTAACTTAAAGGTGAACAGTCTCAAAATGAGTAGTTGATTCTCCTACAGTTCACACTGTTAGTGGCCCATCCCCAATCCTTTCTCCTTTACCTTGCTGTCAGAGCAAGGTGTTTGGGTTTCTATCTGTCTTCCAAATGACTAAAGAAAGGGATCCTGTCCCCAGCTATAAGGCTTCTGTCAATCAATCATAGCAGCTCCATTCCCCTTGCCAGTGTTGGCCTAGGGTGGACCTGTGACCTAGTAATAAAACATGAGAAAAGGTCTAGAAAAGATGGTTTCCACTTCGTCTGGACATTACCAGACTGGCTATAACTCTTACCTTATGACAAGACAAATCCAATTCACTATGCATAGCAGAGTGACAAAATGGAAAGAACCTGGATCCTTCATGATACTATGTAGCCACTGAATTTAACCTTGGAGTGTCCCTACCTTTGGGCTTCTTGTTGTGCCAGAAAAAAATTTTTTAATTATTTAAGCAAAGCTGAGTCAGCTGAAGGAGTAGGTAACTGCATAGTTTCCTCATCTCAGTGGACATTTGGCCCTATTTGGAAGCACAGCAGGATAGTTGCCATCTGTGGCCACTGGGTCCCAGACAACATTGGAAGACTCCTTCTAGGCAAGGCCTGAAATTTTCTCTGCATCCTGTTTCTCCCAGGTGGTCTGAACGTTCATGACTGCTGTACACAGTAGTAATAGTGTGACCCCAGACTGGGAACATTCAACAAAGACAAAACTGAAAAATCAGACCTAATTAATGTGAACTGGGTTTTCTTAAAGTAGAATTGTTAATGCTGTTAACTGAATTGAGTGTGTTCTGGAAAATGCTTCATGTTGTACACCAATGTCTAAACATTTATCTTTTTCAGAATGAATAGTACTTTGGGATTTTGCTGTCTGGAAAACAGTATTATGTAGAATATAAGAGTCTGGGTTCTGAGCGCAGGCTGTCAGAATTCAACTTCCATATCTCTCATTAACCAGATGTGTGACATGGAGCAAGTTACACTATGTCTCTGTGCCCTAGTTTCCCCATCTGTAAAATGGCTATAATAATAGCACCTACCTTGTGGGATTTTTGTGACGGTCTATCAGTTTTCATCATATAATAGGCTATAAGCCATTGTTAGCTATTTTTATTATTTCCTGAGTGAATTGCAAGCATCCTATCTTTCTTCCCTTTTTGGTTGATAAGTAATCCTTTTGCTTGAATTTGGGGGGTTTTCCATGACTCTTTCTGGAAAATTTTGACTCTAATATGATTTCCTAATTCTTTCAGAATGATAGGAGAAAATAGTGTCTTGAAAACTAATTATGCTATATTCTAATTTTTTATAATTAATATTGTTGCTACTAATACCATCACTACTCCAAAAAATGCTTTTGATCACAGAATCCTTATGATTTGTAACCTGGTAAACAAATCCTGGATTATCTTAATTTTTAAGGCTAAGTGATACTGATTTCAGTAAATAACTCCAATAATCTCCCTGTCTTTAGCTCATATTTCTCAGTGACTCAGTATACCTGTGGTAGCTCTCATTCACCTGTACACTGTAATTTTAAAATTTCCCCTCACAGTGCAGCTAAGACCCTCACAAATGCTTTCTCAGTGGGGTGTCTTTCCTCAACAGTCTAGTATTTTATTCTTCTTTGCATATAATTTAATTTTACTCTTTTTAGAGAATTATCTCTAAATATCCTGTGAGCAAAAGATTCTGGAAGGAAAATTATGGTACCTGGGTTTTCTTTTTTAGCATTTGAACTGCAGAATTCTATAGCAGAATACATACTCTTGTTTGTTACCTTATCTGCAGAAAACAGTACTCATGCTTTCAGATAAGCCCACTGGATGTGTTGGTGTTTAAGTCATAATTATGATGTGAAGATTAATCTCTGACTTTCTTGATTAGATTTTTCTTTGATATAGCTTCACTTCATTTTTTTTTCATAATTTCTCTACCATAAATAAACTTATAACTACGGAGATCCTTTTCCTACATAAAAATCCTTTACTTATTTATTCATTCAAAAATTTGCTGCTGGGCTTCCCTGGTGGAGCAGTGGTTGAGAGTCCTCCTGCCGATGCAGGGGACACGGGTTCGTGCCCCGGTCCGGGAAGATCCCACGTGCCGCGGAGTGGCTAGGCCCGTGAGCCATGGCCGCTGAGCCTGCGCGTCCGGAGCCTGTGCTCCGCAACGGGAGAAGCCACAACAGTGAGAGGCCCGCGTACCGAAAAAAAAAAAAAAAAAAATTTGCTGCTTGCTCTAGCAGGGACACAAAGATGAAGAGAACATAGGCTATTTTCCATATTAATAAAACATTAATAATGAAAATATTCATGATCACCTCTTAACTCTTAGAGTACAGAAGGATGGCATATACAAATACTACTTAAATAAAATGAAAATGTTTTATTAAATCACTAGCTTTTACAAGAAATAGCTTTTTCTAAATGTTAAGATTAAAAAACAAAAGCTGTACTCTATTGTATTTCAATGTCCTGAAGAAAAATCAGGGGCTGATTGAAGAATGATTCCAAAAGAAGTTCGGATTAAGAAGATACAAACTGGTTGCCAAAGGTAGAAATTCTATTCATGGTAAAGTGACAGAGAAGGTGAAATAACTTTAAAATCATGCAACAGACACATGAAAGGGGAAGCAGAGTTACAAATTACAAATATTTCTTAATAGAAGGAACAGAGTAAAATGGCCACATTTTCCCCTATGACAGAGCGGAAACAGCTGAGAGAACCTGAGAGACTCAGTAGATAACAAATAACATGAGATTACCTTTGAGAGATTTAGAACATTAATTAAAGTCACCATCCTGGAAGCAAGAAAAACTGGCTACAGGCACAGTTTTAACTCCAGAGTGAGTTAGTCCCAGAGGATCTGATCCTAGAGGAAGGAAGAGAGAATAAAATGATGGTGATGATGATGATAAAGAAGAATAGCTACCTTATAGGGCACCTCTTATGTAACAGGCACCATCTCTGTGCTTACCTGTCATTTCATATACTTCTCTGAGTGATCCATAGAGACCATTGTTCCTAATGTTTTACTATAGGATAAAACCAAGGAGCAGAG